CTCGTGCTTTTGAGATATCATGAATGTTTTGCTGGTAATACCTCCGAGATTGGTAGGTGTAACGTGGCCAAGTTGGAAATTAACCTGAAATCTGATTCACCAATTCAAATGAAACCATATCGTGTTCCATTTGCTAAACGTGCCATTTTAACAGGTATAACGAATGACCTTCTACGACACGATATAATACGACCGTCGGAATCAACTTACGCTTCACCTGTTGTTTTAGTGGCCAAAAGTAATGGCGAGCATCGCATGTGTGTCGATTACCGCCAACTCAACTCAATCACGAATAAGATGCCATACCCTATGCCTATCATGGATGAACAATTCGCCCAGCTGGCCGACAACAAATATTTTACAACTTTGGATTTAAGAATGGGGTATCATCAAATTGAAGTTCACGAGGACTCAAAAAAATTCACAGCGTTCGTTACGCACGACGGACATTTTGAGTATAACCGCATGCCGTTCGGGCTCGTCAATGCCCCGGCTGTTTTCCAGTCTATTATGGACAAACTTATTTCGAAGATGGGCAATGGAGAGATATTAGCGTACCTGGACGACGTGGTCATTCCAAGCAAAACCGTAGAAGAGGGTCTTTCTCGCCTTGAACGATTCTTTGAAATTCTAGTGGAAGCTGGTCTTACGCTTCGGTTTGATAAGTGCATTTTTCTGGCGACGAAAATTTCATACCTGGGACACTCAATCGATGAAAATGGTATCCAACCAGGCGACGTTAAAACAAGTGCCATCCGAAATTTTCCCGTACCGAACAATATCACGGAAGTTAGAAGATTCCTGGGCTTAACTGGGTTTTTCAGAAAGTTTGTCCAAGACTACTCGTTAATAACTAAGCCGATCACGAAACTATTACGGAAAACCGAAACTGTTTTCACCTGATTCACCAGATCAACAAATGGCATTTGATAAACTCATCGGAATACTTACGAGTCAACCCGTACTAGCGTTATATAATACCAAATCCCAACACGAAGTTCACACCGATGCAAGCAGTTTGGGTCTCGCCGGTATTTTATTGCAGTCCGATGATAATGTCAACTGGAAACCCGTTTTCTATTTTAGCCGACACTGTACCGATGCTGAAAGCCGCTATCATAGTTACGAACTTGAAGTCCTGGCTGTGGTGGAATCACTTGATCGCTTTCGTATTTATCTGCTTGGCAAGCCATTCCGTCTCGTGACTGATTGTTCTGCTGTCGCGAAGGTGAAGAATGACAAAGAACTTAAACCCAAAAAAGCTAGGTGGTGGTTAAGACTACAAGAGTACGATTTCACTCTAATACACCGTGAGGGCCGGCGCATGTTACATGTAGACGCCCTAAGCCGAGCTCCCGATATGCCACCAGTGGAAATAGAGCCAGACTATATAATGAAAATTACTGCCGACTTGGATGACTGGATAGTCACTATGCAATTGGGTGATGAAAAACTACAGATGATTATTTCCGTTTTACGTGGAGATCGGAAAACCGACCAGGATAAACAGATTAAGATGGAATTCTGCATGCGCAACGGTAGACTTTATCACAAAGAAGAAGATGGTCCAAAGTTGGTAGTGCCTAAGAGCATCCGTTGGAGAATCGTAAAGTTTTCGCACGACGATATGGGGCATTTCGGCTTGGAGAAGACAATTCAAAGGATACGACAGAAGTTCTGGTTTCCTAAAATAAGAAAATACACCAAAGACTACATCGCCAGTTGTATAAATTGTTGCTATAATAAGGCTCACGCTGGGAAGTCAGAAGCCCGTTTACACTATGATGAAGTCGAACCAGTTCCCTTCCAGACAATACACATTGACCATTTGGGTCCATTTACTAAAAGTAAACGGGGCCAATGCTACATAATTGCCATATCTGATGCATTCAGTAAATATCTGGTAGTCAAAGCCGTCCGTAGTACAAAATCGTTACCCGTTATCAACACCTTAAATGAAGTGACGTCGTATTTTGGCCTTCCAAAACGTATCATTAGCGATCGTGGTACGGCATTTACCTCAAAGGTTTTTGAGGAATTTTGTGCTCACAACTCTATCAAACATGTAAAGACAGCCGTACGAACACCGAGAGCGAATGGACAGGTTGAGCGTGCCAACCAATCAATACTCAACTATATCCGAACAACCGTTGAAAACCCGAAGGACTGGGACTTAACACTACGAGAGCTCCAGTGGACTGTAAATTCGCAAATAAATTTAACAACTGGATTCTCACCTAATGAATTAGTTTTCGACTTCAAGCTGCGGGATGTAGTGCAAAATTATCTGGTCGCAGCCATACATGACGACATTGATGAAGATTCGTTGCCAATAACCGAGAAGCGAAACATTGCTGCTAAGAATATTCAACAAGAGCGCGAAAAGTGGGAGAAGCGTTTTAATGCGAAACACGCCGCCCCGAAGCAGTATGCCGAAAACGACATCATTGTATTGGAAAACGAAGCACCCGCCACAGGAGACTCACGTAAACTTGAGCCGAAATTTCGAGGCCCATATATTGTGGCTAAAGTCCTTGGAAATGACCGGTATCTAATAGAGGACGTGCCGGGAATTCAGGTCACCAACCGAAAGTTTTCTTCTGTGTATTCAGCAGATAAGATGAAACCATGGTGTAATAGCTGTCCCACCTTGGATGAACCTTCCGAAGATGACGACAACGAAATCGAGGACGATTTGGTAGCAGGATAGGCCGAGCTGTCACCCTGTGTTGAGAATACGACTCTATATTTAATATATTTTGTTTCTGAGTTAGTCAGGAAATTAATATAGAACTGAATTCGCAAGAGAATAGACGCGTGCGCGACCGTATTTGTTTTATTAATATTCGTATTGTTTATTTTAAATTAATAAATATATTTTCTTTGAGTTAAATAAATCCTCGTATTATTTTTTTTATTGTTTACAAAAGCCGTCTTGACAAAAGTAATATTTTTTATTTATGTTTTGTTCACATTGTTTTTCAAGGAAATTTTATTTTGACACAATCTTAAATTTTCCAAAAACAAAATACATGTGGTTGTTGTAGATGTTGTTGTACAACAAGAGATGTCGCTACTTTATTAATATACTTTGGTTGTAACGTGTATGCCTTGCTTTAGGAAACGATATTGAAAATGAATTAATAACGATTTTTAGGAGATTTTATTAATACCATAACAATACAAACAATTTTCTCTAAAAATTAAAAAAAAAAAATACATAGTAATAGTACCAAACTTAGTACTTATTTTTTATTATAATTAAATTTTTATTAGTTAGTTAATTTTAAAAATTTTTGGTATTTTTCGATTTTTTACGACTTGTCGATTTATTTTGATTTATCGAATTTTCAATCCTTTTAGAGTTTCTCTTTTTCTACTCTTTCTTACAAGATAGTCGATTTGTCGACTTAGTTGGAACAAAAAGTCGAGTTCAACATTTATTTATTTATACATATGTATACAGTAAATTAATAAGCCATTTTAGCCAAAATAATATTACATAGTAATACAATAAACCTAATTGTAAAAACACGGTTTAAATATTAAAATACTATCAAATGGGCTTCCCAGCCGTAAAAGGAAAATAAGTAAGTCAAAATTAAAAAAATAGACAAATTAAATAAATTCAGGTAAGGATAATGATAACCAGAACAACGGGTTCGTAATTTTGCTCTGGGTGGAGGAAAACCTTCGTGCGTCATTGCCATTATCGCTTTTTGCTCTGCCTTCGAGAGTTTTACGTTTAAAACCGCATTGGACAAATGTGTGACATCAAATAGCTGTATATAGTTATGGTTTTTCGAAGTGCCCAAATAGACTACGCAAGCGGCTTATCAAACATACTTTTTTCATTCGCACACACACTACACAAACATTGCTCGTACAAACTCCGATTTTTTCACGTTTTTGTGGGCTTGCAAAGATATAGATGTCAATTTTTCTTAGAAATCTAAATTTGGTGAAAAATTTGTTATTAATGAATATAAACAATACAAACGGTTTGAAAAAAATTCAATATGTTTGTGTAAAAATCATTTTTTTAATTTTTATACAAACAAACAGCAAGCATTTGCACAAACACGAAACACCCTCATACACTACACAACAGTCTTGCTCAAACGTAAAATATTGGTATGTTTGTCAAGCCGCTTGTGTAGTCTATTTGGTCCTTAAGTTTTTAATTTTGATTATGAGTGTGTGCCAATCGGTAACAATTTACTTGAAAGTGTAAATTTTTGATAGATATGAGATGAATAAAATTTTACTAGCTCATAGGGCTATATAAATTTTTGACAAATGAAAAGAAAAATTTGAAAATACAAAAAATGAAATATTTTATAATTTTAGTTTATAATACATTTGTGATTGTAGAAATTTATTTTAATAATAAAAAAATCAATAAAAGTGTTTCATTTATTAAAATAAATGCAGATTTTCTTGTGAAATTAGTGACAATTGTATAAATTTAATGTAATCAAAAAAGATATCGTTTGGAACAGCAAAATGTAAAAATGTTCCCACCATAGGAAAATTACAATCCACCATAGAACTTTGTTATTATTTGGCACACGCTCTATGGTGGAAAACCAAATAAATTGGAGTTGGCGTTGTGATTCGGGCCAATATAGTCTTAGCTGCCAGCAATTCTTCCAATAACTTGTGATCCTGTGACAAAAGCCCTACTAAAAAAATCTAAATATCCTGTGGGGAACAAAGTGAGGATTCCTATACGAGGAGAAAAAGATGTTACATATAACAGATGGTCGACCAGCTTCAATTTTATAAAACTTTTATCAACTTTTCCTACAAAAAGTCGATTTATTGATTATTTGAATGTCGTTTTATAGAACCGTATTTTGTATAGTCGACAATTTCAAAATTATAAGTCGAAAAATCGATTTTTGAAAAATGGCAAAATGTTTAAATGTCGACTTTTTGTATCTACTACAGAACTCTATGATTTACTATGATAATATAGTCGGAAAGAGCTACCATATCTTTTCAACTGTTTCATATTTCAGTTGAAATATATCTGGTAAATAAAAATGAGTGCACATGTTTTGTAAATATTGTTTATTTTATACTTGAATAAGCTTAGTTGTAAAAATGGAAAGTTATTTATCAATTTTTCAAGGAATATTATCTACAGAAGGCACCTTTTTAGATATTTATCTGGATGGTTTGGATCATCATAGCAAATTTGGTATACAGGTAAAATTGGTATAATTACAATACATAAATATGTACCATTGAATAAGATAAAGATTATTTATTTTAGTCTAATGAAGGAGCTGAAATTGTGCAAAATATTAGTTCCTTATTGACTAAATCAACAACTCGTTCGCTTGGATTACGTTTACTTACTAAGTACATCGACCACTGTCCTATTGAGGTGTTTGAAAAGAAAGGTAATCTGTGGATAACATTGGTTTTAAAAGCGTGCAACAGTCAAGAATTGAATTGTGATGCTCTTATATTTGAAGTATTGGGTAATTATAGCTTTAAGTGCATATATTTTTATTATCTTACAAATCTTATAAAACCGTTTAGGTAAGATCATTAAAAGATCTCTCCATTCTCCCGATTTGGCAAAATCTTTTGCTAGTACTCATATAAGTAAGGTTTATGAAAATCTTACAAAAGTTTCACAGTTTCAAGTAAAATATGCCTTGAGTTGCATTGAGACATGTTTGCGCACATATCCTGGGTCGAGTGGTCCATCAAAGGGTGTTATAGAGCGTTTTTTGTGGAAAAATGTGGATCATCTTGATGGCGAAGTCGTACAAAATTGCGGCAAGTGTTTACACCTACTTCAACAAGTAAAAGGTGGAGGAGTGCAAGGAGTTAATCATAAAACACAGTGGAAAAACTATCAACTTCAACTTATGGGTGGTATTCACTCCGTATATAATGAAATGTTTTCCAACTGTGTAGAAATGTATGAAGAGAAAATAGAACAAATGAAATTGCCGTGGGAAGGAGAACAGCATAACTTTGACACTGAACCAGTAAAAAAGGCTGCGCAAATGTATACACGATGCCATAACATGATAAGATATCTTCTTATAGCATTAAGGTAACTTCTAGATTTTATATAAATGTACTGTTGTATCTATATTGTGTAATATGTATGATGAAATCTTTTATAGAGAACCCTTCCCTGTGGAAAAACCCATACTGGTAAAGAAAATATTAAACGTGGTTATCAGAGGCTTAGGTGTGAACTGCCTAATGCTAGAGCAAAATCCCATTGCCGATAATATTGCTCTTAGCATTCTTTTGCCGAAGCTACATGTTGATTTGTTTGAACTTCTTAAGGTCGCAGTGTTAATGTAAATTTAAAAAATATATTTTTTATCACTTTAATTAAATTTCACCTTTCTTTCAGATTACGTGGTCATCTGCGTCCTTATTCCGAACTCATATTAGGTCTCATAATTGACGCAATTAAATGGACGTCGTCTAAAAATGCACATGGCGATCAAAAAACTTTATTGTACGTATATTAATATTTAATTACTTTTTCATTGCAAATTACGAAAGCACTTTGTACTGCAAATCGTTAAAAAATTTTCATCATGTTAATATTAATTGGAAATAGTATGCAATATTTTTTCTTAAAATACAAATTTTAGATATATTGGTACTAATAATATATTAAAATCATAGTAGTTTCAGTTTCCTACCAGCGATTGAAAATCCTGACATCAGTATAATTTTTTAAAAATGGGTCGAAATGGGTCTCAAAAATTCCGAAATTTTAAGCTTATTAGGGTAAAAAATCTTAAAATCCAACCCACAAAATTATTTTTAGTGGGTTGGAGAGCCATATTATTTTCGTTTTTTTATAGAAATAGCTGTCAAAACTGTCGAAATTTTTAGTTTCTACAGAAAGATATTTAAAAAATAGTTTAGCATTTTGTTTGGTCCATTTCAGAATTTTTTAGAATTTTTTAGAATTTTTTGAAATTTATATGCCCCTTATAATAAAGTAAAAGTCGTTTTTCGGACCAGAAATACACTAACAAAAACTTTAATTATTTTTCACGTGATAGGCTCAAAATTACGCAATTTTTGAGACCCATTTCGAAAAGATTACAGATTTTTTTTTAACATATTGTAGTGAGATCAAGATTTTCAATCGCAGTTAGGCAAAAAAATTCAAAAAAATTGTTTTTTAATTTTCTCGAATTAAGAACATTAAAACTCATCGGTTGAGAGGTATTCCTCCCTAGTATACATTCATATATAAGTGTCAGTTCGTTTGTAATTTCTATAATATAATTTTCCGTCCCTATAAAGTATATATATTCTGGATCCTTATAGATGGCGGATAATTATGTCAGGCAAGCTTTCGAGAAGTTCCCCATTTAAAATCAGAAAAAAAGTCCATAAATAACGGAGATATGGGCGAAAATCCGAAAATGCTTTGTGTATTTTGTGGTTTGAGCTTTGTGTTTTGTGGTTTTATTTTTTGGTGTTTTGCTTCGTTTGGCTATTGTTTTGTTATTGCTAAAGTAATGGTAGAGGCGGGAAAAATAAAATCACAATCTACATATTTAGAGTAATATTTCCACCAAATTCAATTAAGATCAAACTTCACCTTTAAATATTTTGTAGCCATTTTTAAATTTTTAAAGGAGTAAAATCATTATGGGGTACATTGTTTAATATCGAAAAAAAAAAAATAAGCCGGTTGTGGAAATAGTTCCCTTACTTCAAAGTTTATGTCCGCAATATTTTTTCAAATTATATTCATAATTATGAGTGGTGCAATAGTGGTGCAAAGTGGTGCAATATTAGTTTTTTTATAATGTATCAACAGTATTAAGTGTGAAATTGAGTGCCATTGTTGCCTCGTCCCAAATAAGTTAGTTTTTTAATGAATAAGGTAACAGCAAGTTAGTTAGTAGCTCGTTTTCATTGTGAAAAGTAAGTTTATTTGTATGTATGTATATTTGTTTTTAAAAGTGATGATGGCGAAATCAATAATTAATATTTTTCTTTTTATTTAAGGGTTTTACGTAAACAAGTTTATGAAACCGTTTCATTGTGGTGTGAAATATTTAATAGTGGAAATCGCTGTGAAACTGTTGCTGAATACCTTTTTCAAGAGATTCTTAGTGATATTACTCCCACACAAAGTGAATTTACATTAAAGGTATGTTAAATATAAGCCCTATTCTGAATAAAATTGTTATTCAATTCAATTCAATCGCCATTATTTCTTAAGGACGATCAGGCTTGTGTTTGTTCCCAAGCTTTCGACAGAGACGAGTGAGACTCCAACTTCATATATAAAGGTATAGGTCGATTGGAGGGCTCTCTCCGAACCAATGTGGGATAACCTGGCATTTTGAGGGTTTATAAATACACCGCAAACAAATTACAGATTACATGATTACATGAAGAAGATTTTTTATTTTGATAAAATAATAAATAAGGCATTTTAAAATTTTAAATAGGCAAATGTTGCTATATAGTTTCAGTCACGTAAGTTTAGTATAGCCACCTAAAAGCCTTTCGGATTTCCTTAAGCATTTGTCAGTCTTTTCTGTTCGGTTATAATATTACCTTAGGCAGCCTATGTATACATTATAGTTACAAATATCTTGGTCCAAATAATAGCATTTGTTTACATACATATCGTCACCTGAAATGCAGAAGAGCATATCAACACTTTTAAAAACTTTCCAGGAGAGACAATAAACTAAATAAAATGAAAATATTACTGTTATGAAAATTACATTTTCTTACGTGTATTATAACATCAATAAACACATTATAATACAATAGTACCGCCAACCATTATCTATTGTTATGTTGCTTTTTAGGATTTTCTGACGAGTGCCAATGACTAATTTGTTGTTACGCCCTTTTGAATTTCATGTTAATAAAGTCGGTGTTTTTGACAATAGAGTTCTAAAAATTTACTACAACATGTATTTTGATGCAGTGGACCATTCACGGTTCACTTGTATGGGGAGCATAAAGAGATTTAGTAAATTCCTGAAATATAATACATATATGTATATAATATGAATTAAATTTTTGTAACATATGTATTTTTAGGTTTTAAGTGGTGCTCGAAAACATATGTCTAAAAAAGCAAGGCGTCAGCTTCACAATGCCCAAAATGAGAAATCCAATATGGCTCACACCCATTCTAATGACAGCAGTCGTAAAGGACATTTTTCAGAAGAGAGAAATAAGGAATTATGCATTGCTGCATTACGCTGTCTTCAACAAATTCTTTTATCAGTTTCGAATTTTATAAAACCTACTATATTAAAGGTAAGTAATCTTTATTTAAATCTCCACGATTCTCCAAGTTTGATGAATTTGGTAATAGAAAACGGTTTCATTGCTTATTTTTTCGATTATGAATACAATCGCATAAAACGAGCCATATGAACCAATTTAGTAATTCAGTACATGGAACTATTTAAAACAAATGAGTGTACAAATCTGCATTAAAAATTGTGCTTTTTTGATTCCAATTGTACCAAATACAATTCAAAATTAACATTCATTTGTATTAGCCCATAGATTTGTCTAGTCAAATAGTCCGTTTGGTCCCAGATTGGTCAATGGACTAGACAGTCTATTGCTAATAGACTAATATATTAAGTAGACAATAGAGTATTCTAAAACTAGACAATAGACTACTCTATATACTATATACTACTATAGGTTAGATATCAGAGTAGTGTATTAACTAGTTTATAGAATAGAATGTATGAATATTAGTCCAATGACATATTCGAGTAATCTATAAACTAGATAATAGAATAGTCTATAGACTAGACTCTAAAGACTAGATAATAAATATAGTCGGTAAATAATTCAGAGACTAGCCCCTAGACTAATTAACAGTAACTATACCATTTGTATTCGCTTTCGCATTTGAATACGCAAAAAATAAAATTAATTATTCGTTTTCGCATTTTCATCCGCTAAACTCGCATTCGCAACATCCCTATTTATAGACTACATAATAGAAAAGTCATTAGATTAGTCCAAAGTCTAGTAAAAAGTACTTTAAACGTTATTCAAAATAAGATCATTCAAAGATCATTAAAATTATTTAAAATTTTCGCTTCCACATAAAAAAAGGCAAAATATTTGCATTGTCTATTCTATAGTACGAATAGAAGCACAATGTTTCTATTCGATAGTACGAATGACGAGCAGGAAAAGAATTTGTATACAAGTATTTAGTATTAATAAAAACATAGGACTTGGGGATTAATCCTTAGTATATAAATAATATATTAGACCTATTGTGTAAACACCATTTACGAAAAATTTTAAAAACCATAATATGCATATTTTTTAAAATCGGAACAAATTTTTGGGTTTAGATAGATTGAAATAAATTTAAAAGGCCACCGCTATCAGTTTTCTAGTGCTTTGCGTTTTTAGAATTTTTACTGAAACATAATATAAATAATATATATCAAGAATTCCAGAAAAGAACACAGAAAAACTGACAATTTCTTCAATTTCCTTCATATTATCAATATATGTTCTTTATGCAGAAGAAGAAGGGTGATACTCATCCCATATATAGTTTAAGATATCTTCTTAATCGCAAAATAACTGTAGAGGAACCCATTAAATGCAGAGGTCCTCCTCAATGCCTAAATTGCCAAGAGTTCGGTCACACCAGAACTTTCTGCAAATTACCATCTGTTTGTGTGAGATGCGGAGACATCCATAAAAGCCAAGATTGTCCCCACCCAATAACAGATAACAATAAAAGAAAATGCAGTAACTGTGGTCAAAATCACACTGCTAACTATCGCGGATGTCCAGTATATATACACATGCAACAATTAAATAAGGCCAGAAGACCTTTATATGCTCAATATAAAGCTTCTAACTTCCCAAGTCTTCCTAATACTTCTAGTGCTCAATATAGAAGCATCACAAATAAAAGCAATCAGAATAAATCGAGGGTTCCGTTACCCAAAGTAATGCAAAACAAACTTCTAGTGCCCAATATAGAAGTCTTACAAATAAAAATAATGAAAATCTGCAAACAAATAATGAAAATAATACCACGTTATTTTCATATGCACATGCATTAAAAGAGGGTGTACCCGCACCCGAAACAAATTCTCAAAGCTCTATTGAGAATTTAATTCAAACCATGAACAACAATTAATGCAGAATCGAAGCATGCTCATGCAGATCCTGCTAAATAAGAAATGAATTCCCTAAGAATTTGTTTTTGGAATGCTAACGGCCTTAGCCAACACAAGAATGAAGTTGAACATTTCCTGCTACTTCAGGAAATTGACGTACTACTCGTCTCTGAAACACACTTTACCCTAAAGAATTGTTTCAGAATTAACGGATTTATTTCAGTGATCCCTTCATGGACCTCTCGTCAGACCACTCAGACCACTACAGTTTCAACGTTATTAGAAACCCCAAATAAATTGGGAAAACTATTGTTCTTGTTTCCCTAACAAGATGACGAACTGGTTAAAGTATAAAATGTATGTCAGCTCACACTTGCCACAAAACATTTCATTGAAAAATGACCATGAAATACAATCCGCTGTCGATATATTTACGGATATCTTACAAGATGCTGTCAAAGTTTCTACACCCCCAGTCACCTTGGGATACTACAAAAATTCGAAATGTCCTAGGAACATTGAGTCTCTAATTAAAGAAAAGAGAACACTCAGGCGTCAATGGCAACAATCGCGATCTCCAAACATAAAGGTTAAACATAATCAGTGACAAAGAAGACTTCACATCGCCTTAAAAAATAATAAGGAATCTAATCTGAACAATTATCTCAAAAACTTAGACCCTACTAAGAAAACAGAATATAGTCTCTGGAAAGCTGTTAAACATATGCAATGCCCTATTGCATATGAGTCACCCATACGCCTCCAGAATGGTCAATGGGCAAAAAATACGTCAGAAAAACTTGAAGCATTCGCCAATCACTTGGAGAATGTGTTTACTGAAAATGATACAGATTCTTCTATTAGTGCTAACATTATAAATAATGTGGTTCCACGCCCAATAAAATTCCGATTCTCTACCGTGAAGACGACAATCAAAGGTCTAAAGGCAGGAAAATCACCTGGTATAGATAAAATTACTACCAAGATGATAAGTAACCTGCCCAATTCAGCGCTGAGAATTATTTTGTTCATCTTTAACTCGATGCTACGTATTGGATATTTCCCTACCTCATGGAAAGTATTCGAAATTGTTATGATACCAAAACCGGGAAAAGATGTCACTCAAGTGACATCATTCCGTCCCATTAGCCTGTTGTCTATATTCTCAAAACTTTTTGAAAAGTTATTGCTTGAAAGCCTTATACCACACCTTAACGATAATTGCATTATTCCCGACCATCAGTTTGGTTTCAGAAGAAAGCACAGCAGTATCGAACAGGTTCATCGAATAACTACTCTTATTCGGAAGGCCTTCGAGAGCAAGCAATATTGCTCAGCATTATTCATAGATATTTCTCAAGCTTTCGATAAAGTCTGGCACGATGGACTAATACACAAAATTATCACATTACTACCTGCGAATGATCACAAACTGCTTAAAAATTATATATATGAAAGATCTTTTCAAATCAGATCTAAAGATGTGATCTCTTCACATCGAAAAATATCTGCAGGAGTACCCCAGGGGAGTATTCTAGGTCCGTTCCTATATATTTTATATACTGCAGATATGCCAACGAGCGCACTGACTCACACATCTGCATTTGTGGATGATACCGCTTTTGTAAGCATACATGATAACCCTTCAGTAGCTTCTGAACAACTCCAGCTTCACATCGGCGAATTGGAAAAGTGGCTGGACAAATGGAAAATAAAGGTCAATGCAACAAAATGTACTCACGTTACATTTACTTTAAGACGAGAAAATTGTCCTCCCGTACAGATAAACAATATAAAAATTCCTGAACAAAGCCATGTGAGATATCTTGGTATCCACCTTGATCGCAGCTTAACATGGACTCACCACATTGAAGCCAAGGTTACACAAATAAAATTAAAGTCAGCTCAAATGTGCTGGCTAATTGGACCACGGTCAGCTCTAGACTTGGAATACAAAGTGCTTTTGTACAAAACAGTTATAAAACCGATATGGCTATACGGCATTCAACTGTGGGGAATAGCCTCCACATCTAATGTTGAAAAATTACAAAGAAAGCAGTCAGCACTGTTAAAGTCAATAACAGGTGCTCCGTGGTACATTCGCAATAGTAATATTCATAGGGATCTCAATGTCCCCATAATACGCGAGGAGATCAAATTCTCTTGTTTAACCTACTTGTCGAAACTAATGGATCACCCAAATCCCCTTGCCAGGGAGTTGCTGTCATTTGAGGGTCATAGACGACTGAGAAGAACGGAAACATTGGATTTTGCCAGATAATCAAATTAGCGAGAACTTTGGTTGAAATTGCATTGGCAATAACAACGTTAGTTATAATTTAGGTTAAGATTTTAATACTTATTGTAAATTTCTACATAAGAAAGATTCAATGAAAAATAAATAAAATTAAAAAAAAAAATTTTTAATTTAACTCGAAAACACCTCAGCTTCAGTATTATTTCCAAATAAAAACCGCTCTGAACTGTTTAAATTTGCCAAAATATGCTTCTTGCATATTATGTTCGCAGTAAATGAGCGATTAAAATAAAACTATATATTTTTTTCAAATAAGTTAAAGAGTTTCTTATCGTGCTTATTATGTTCGCAGTAAATGAGCGATTAAAATAAAACTATATATTTTTTTCAAATAAGTTAAAGAGTTTCTTATCGTGCTAACCCCAATTTTTAAATAAATTCACTGTAATGTATTGATGGTGGGGAAGCTAGTTCCTATGCGCATTTCGCCGGTTGCTTAAGCCAGCTCATCAGGAAACCTTTCCCAATATTTTAGGAAAACTAGAAATGTCTTATGAAAGAATTATTTTAAACTCAATAAGAATTCAAAACGCATCTTTCACAAAACATTAAAGTTTTGACAAAACACCAACAATAACAGTGAGTTTATTTTTTCTTACATTCCTTTCTACACTTGGATGGTTGTTTTCCAACTCTAAATGCAGTTGTAAGGGAAAAAAATAAAAACAAAATAAACAACTTCCATTTTGTTGTTTATAAAAACAACAGAATAGGGTATTCAGTTTTAAATGCACGGGCACTTGCAAATTTAATTTAAAAATTGATTTTGGGATTTTTATTATTTTTTCAAATAAGTTAAAGAGTTTCTTATCGTGCTTTCAACCCCA